ACCACCAACTGTCCTGATCTGTCCTGCAGGGGTCCTATGTTGCTCTGAGCTTTCCTTTTGCCCACTATATACCTGAAGAAGGACTTTTTATTGTCCAACATCTTTATCAACGATGCGGACATTGGTGTCAGAAGTGTGCTGGCCAAGTTTGCCGATGACACTAAACTTTGGGGCATAGCGTCCACACCTGAGGATAGGCTAGTGATCCAGGCTGACTTGGATAAGCTTAGTAAGTGGACGGATATAAACCTGATGACATTCAATACTAAAAAATGCAAGGTACTCCAGCTCAGGGGAAAAAACCCCACAGTATGCTTATAGGCTTGGCAGTGCTATGCTTGCTAGCACCATGGCTGAAAGAGACTTGGGGGTCCTGATTAACCACAAGATGAACATGAGCAACCAATGTGATGTCACAGCTGGTAAAGCAAACAGAACTCTGACTTGCATCCATAGATGCTTCTCAAGTAAATCCCAGGATGTCATCCTCCCACTGTATTCGGCCTTGGTGAGGCTGCAGCTGGAGTGCTGCATCCAATTCTGGGCTTCACAATTCAAGAAGGATGTTGAGAAACTTGAGAGAGTCCAAAGGAGAGCCACGTGCATGATCAGAGGGCAAGAGAATAGGCCTTATGATGAGAGGCTGAGAACCATGGGACTCTTCAGCTTGGAAAAGCACAGGCTCAGGGGGGATCTGGTGGCTGCCTATAAGTACGTAAGGGTCTGGGGGAACGCCTGTTCACCAGAGCGCCCCAAGGGATAACAAGGACCAACGGTCATAAACTCCTCCGTGACCATTTTAGGCTGGGCGTAAGGTAAAACTTCTTGACTGTCCGAGCCCCCAAGGCCTGGAATAGATTTTCCGCAGAAGTGGTGCAGGCACCTACTCTGGACTCTTTTAAGAAACGTTTAGATGTTTAACTTGCTGGGATCTTTTCCTGCCCCTGAGGCAGGGGGCTGGACTTGATGATCTTCAAGGTCCCTTCCAGCCCTAATGTCTAGGAATCTATGAATCTTTAGTTTCTCTTCATATGGAAGCCCCTCCACACCACTAGTCAACCTTGTTGCTCTTTTCTGTACCTTCTCTAATTCTTCTATATCCTTTTTTGAGGTGTGGGGACCAGAACTGGGCAAAGTATTCAAAGTGTGGACACATCATGGATTTATAAAGGGGCATGATGATACTTTCCATTTTGTTTACAATTCCCTTCATAATAATCCTTTTGCCTTTTTGACAACTGCTGAGCCAAATGAGTCAATATTTTAGCGAACTGTCCACAATGATTCCCAGATCTCTTTGCTTTGTGGTAACAGCTGTAACAATTACTGTATAGCCCATCATAGTATAGATATAGTTTGGGTTATTTTTGCCCAGAAGCATCACTTTACAATCATCTATCTTAAATTTAATCTGCCATTTAATTATCTGTTTGCTCAATAGTGCCAGTTCCTTCTGTATTTTTCAGAGCCCACCTTGGTCTTTATTGCTTTGAATAATTTTGTGTCATCCACAAATTTGGCCACCTTGATACTCACCCCCTTTGCCAGATCATTTACAAATATGTTAAACAGCACTAGTCCCAACACAGATCCCTGGGGGACCCCGCTGTTTATTCCTTTTCATCCTGAAAACTGACCGTTTATACTCACTCTTCACTTTCTATTTTAAAGCTAATTTCTAATCCAAAAGTGGGCATTTCCTGTAATCTCGTGACCACCTAATTTAATTAGTAAGACCCTCTGATTGGGGAACTTGTCAAAGGCTTTTTGGAAGTCCAAAAATACACTATGTCAACTGGATCACCCTGATCCACCTGCTTATTGACATCCTCAAAAAACTCTAGTAGGTTGGTGAAGCATGATTTCCCTTTGACAAAACCACATTGATTCCTCCCCAGCAAGTCATGTTCATCCATGTGCTGAACAATTCTTTTATTACTGTTTTCACCAGTTTTCCAGAAGATAAACTCACTGGCCTGTAGCTCCCTGCATCACCTTTACAGCCTTTCTAAAATATTGGAGTCACAAGCAGCAACCTTCCAGGCCTCTAGTACTGAAGCTGTTTTTAGTGATAGGTTTCATACTACAGTTAAGAACTCAGGAATTTCTAATCTGAGCTCCTTCAGGACCTTAGGGAGAATGCCATCAGGTCCTGGTACTGTTTAGTTTATCAGTTTCTTCTACCACCTCATATACTGAAACCTCAGTTTGGTCAGCTCCACTGACTCATCCCTAGAGAGGAGTGGATTTGGTGAGGGAATCTCCCTAACACCTTCCACAATGAAGATAGATGCAAAAAATGCATTTAGTTTCTTGACGGTGATTTCTCATCTTTTAGTGCCCCATTTATACCCTGATCATCCAAAGGTCCAACTGACTCTGTGGCAGGTCTTTGGCTTCTAATGTACTTAACGAAAGTTTTATTGTTATTGTTTGGCTTCTAATGTACTTAACGAAAGTTTTATTGTTTTTGTGTCTCTAGCAAGTTTCTCAAATTCTTTTTAGCTGGCCGTATTACAGTTTTACATCCGATTTGCCAGAGTTTTTGCTTTTTTTTTATTTCCTCATTTGAATTTGTCTGTCGCTTTTTGAAAGAATCCTTTCTTGTGGTTCTTACCTCTGCAGCTCTGTCATTAAACCATGCTGGCTTTCTTTTGGTCCATTTTCTCTTGTTCTGATTTGTGGTAATGCACTTGTTCTGTGCCTCTAATATGTTGTTCTTTAGCAGTTCCCATGCTGTTTGCACATTCTTCATCTTCTGTCTAATTAGATTCCTCATTTTGGTGTAGTCTCCCTTTTTAAAGTGAAAGACTACTCTGGTAGATTTTCTACTTGTCTCCCCTCCTACATGGATGTCAAACCCAACTGCACTGTGGTCACTATTGCAGAGCGGCTCACTAACATTTACCCTTTACAACAAATCCAGTGCACTGCTTAGGACAGCCTTTCTTCTTGTAGGTTCCAAGATTAACTACTCCAAGAAGCAGCCTTTTATAACTTCAAGAAATTTGGTCTCTAAATCACAGCCTGATGTTAGATGAACCCAGTCTATTTGTGGATAGCTGAAGTCACCCATTACTACTGGGTTTTCTGGTTGAGGGTCAATAGTATATTCCCAGACATACTTTTTTTCTATTGAAACCTAGAATTTCTATCAAAAAGTCTGATACCTCTTTTATCAGTTCAAAAATCAACACTATTTGATTTGATGGAATCTTTGATGTAGAGTGCCACTTCCCCACCAGTATATCCTATTCTACCATTCCTGTATAATTTGTATCTTGGTATTATAGCATCCCATTGATTTTCCGTATTCCGCCATGTTTCACAGATACCTATTATGTCAATATCATTATTTACTGCTAGTTCCCCTACCTTTAATCTTAGACTTCTAGCTCTAGTATAAAAGCATGTGCACTTTTTATTGGTGCCTGGTTGGCTTCTTTGTGACTTTATAACCATTAAAGGTATTTGCCTGTGCTTGTCTTTTCCGTTTCTTATCTTCATTTTTTATTGCTTCATCTCTACAGGGTGTGTCAACCTGAACTGTGTACTGTTCTGCACCTGTCAGCTTTCTCCCTATTTTTAGTCTAAAAGCTGTTCTACCACCTTTTTAATATTATGTGTCAGCAGTTCGGTAACATTTTGGCTCAGGTGGAGACCATCCCAGACTCCCCCTATTCCAAAAGGTCACCCAGTTCTCTACTCTGAAGCTCTGCTTGTCTAACTGGCCCTGTGCATGGTACTGGAAGCATTTCAGAGAATGCTACCATGGAAGTCCTGGGCTTTACCTCCTACCTTGTAGCATAAATTTAGCTTAAATTGTGATAGTGACCTAAATGTAGGTCATTATCTTCAAGTTTTGGCTACAAGGTTAACTGGAGGTCACAATATGATGCAAACACCTATCAACTCACCACAACTCTCCCTTGTATCATTGATTTAGGTTCAGCAAAGTATTTGGCTACTTTCTTTTTTAGCTTCTGAGTGGGGGGGACCTCAGTTTCTTTTACAGTTCAGACCTACCAGGGGACACATCAGACCTGACAAGGAACTGCTGTCTGGAGTGGCTTTTCCTCAAACTGCTTCCAGGTGTTGGAGTGTGGTGACTTATCCAGATCCATGAGTAAACTGGGGCACATGATGTCCTGGCCTTTGGCTAGAAAGTCTTGTGCACTGTACTGCCAAGTGATGTGCATTAAAGATTTAAAAAAACAAAGAAAACCAAAAAAATATATTAACAAGTGACTTAAAATGCCAATGTTTCTTCAGTATTTCGGGTCTTTCTTTGACTTCAGTGGACATACCATAGTTATGTTGCTGGAGCTAATGCTGGATGGATGGATAAATATATCATGAAGTTTTTAAAACTATATTTTCCATGTGCTTTACCAAAAGACTGTAGATGCACACAACTGTGTAAACACTTTGCAAGCTGATATGACACTGCAAGGTTTGGCAACATAATGGTGCCTATCCCTTGCTGATTACTCTAATGAAACCACACCTCAGCTATCTTGTGCGTTTGAATGCCAAAAAATTGTCAGACATTTGGTGGCAATTCTGAGGAAAGCAATCTGTACCACACAGCATGCAGTATGCTAGCATTTTGGCTCTATGTCAAAATATCAGCACTTGCTGACATTGTTGTGAAGCACAGACAGGCACAAAGACTCATATCATGATATTTTGTGACCCTAAGAGACATCTGAGGTCATAGAAAGATCTTAAAACCATTGTGAGATATGCGATTGTTTATTTGAAATCAGGATAGTCCCTGAAAACTCTGAGATGTGGGATTAGTTTCTTCTCTTTCCCAACAGAATTTGGTGTTCCCAACACATCTTGTTCTATTCTTAGTAAGCCCAGGGGCCATTTTAACCACTGATCTATTTGATCCTCAGTACACCTATGAATTAGTACATATTTCTAACCCTCTTGGAAAGTACAAAGCACCGTGTAAGTACTAAATATTATCTTTCTTTCTTTTTTTGGTATAGAGAATCATGGAAAGCTCCTGTTCTGAAGGACTCCTCTATACTATCCTCTCTCCTGATGTTCAAGAAGAACCTCTTCATTATGTGATAGCTTGTCTTGCTGAGCTGGCAAAGCATGGTAGGGGAGCAATTACACCGTAAGCTGCTTAATCTCTCAGTGTGCACACATATTTCATTACTGATAATAAGGACTGAACAAAGGTAGGTGAGCATGCACACACACACACAGTGGGCCCAATTTTTCTCTCTTTAAAGGAAAAGGGAGTTTTACCATTAACTATGAGAAGAGTAAAATTAGGTCTACCGCACTGATATGATAAACAGACCTTATTGTTTGAAGGCTTTCCTTTTGAACTATTTAAGCTTTAAACTGCCCTAATCAAATTCATTTTGCCTAATCTTTTTCTGGTAGATGGCTTAGCCACTTTTACTTGTAATGTCTCTCTGCTAGTATTGGTGGATTAACCTTATAGCAGCTGAGAGCAACTTAAAAAAGACGAAAAGGCCCAAATGCAAACTTGCTTTCCTTTTTCCATTGTAGTTTTTTGTGCAGTGATTTCATATTGTAAAGGGTTCAAAACTGACTGCGCTGGAGACCCAAACTCCATCAGCAGGACACAGACTTGTTGGCACAGCTCCTATTTTGGCCTGACTCCAGAACCCAAGGGGTGAACACTGCCAATGCTTTCCCCCTTGCCCACTGTGAATTTGTTGCCAGGGAAAAAGGGGTGAGAGGCAGTGGCCTCTGGGTTCTGGAGCTATGCCAAGGTGCCAGTTCCAGCAGGAACCAAGCTGGCAAACCAGTGAACTCAGAGAGCTCACCACACGTGTTGCATAGGCAAATGGGGTGTGACTGCACCCCCTTGCATCTCCTCTAGATCTGTCCCTGCCACAATGTGCCTCATCCACTCTCTGGCGTAGGTCAAAAGACTATGCCTGGCTCAGGACCACTCTATCTGTTGCCTTCTTGCTGCAATTGCCAGCCAGGGTGGTGATTTATGTTGGTTAGTTTAATGAAGTGGACTTGGGTCCAGTGATGAAAGGATCAGTTGAGACCACCAGATCAAAGTGGCTTTTGGATTTCATAGAATGGCTCAGTGTCAGGATGGGTTGTGGGTGGCCATGTAGTGGGGGTTACCCAGGGTCAGAAAAATCAATCAAAGTCTGAGGGAAATGTGCAGAATCCAAGTGTAAGAGAGTCAGGAAGTCAGAAGATCCATCTGGGGAACCGAGTCAGAGATCCAGAGGGTTGGACAGAGCGTGGGGTCAAGAGACTAGCCAGGTCAGGTATCTGGGAGATGAAACCAGAGTCGGGTTAGGGAGGCAAGGGCCAGGTCAAACTCACGGTCTGTGGGTAAGGTGGGTCAGGTAGCCAGAGGCACAAACCCAGGGTGAGGCAGCCTGGGTACAAGATTGAGCCTTGTTGCCCAGATGCTTCCTCTTCTGGCTCAGGGGTTTTTATAGGAAGGCATCAAGGGTCAGCTGACCCTGGCTGGCCACTCCGGTTGCATGAAGTGGGCACATGGCTAGGCCCAGATATCAGGTTGTGACCACCTATGCCCACCTCAATGCTCAGCTGAGGAGCTGACAGACTGGGGTGAGTGGCTGCTCGAGGGTCAAGGCCACAGCCCGACACTCAGTGTTTGGCGTTCCATTATAAAAGTGATTAGCCTTTCTGACTCTTCAGGCAAATTTCATTGAGTTCACAACCTGAGGATTTGACTTGGCACCGTTGGACCTGGAATCCAAAGTTCTGTATGCTTTCTGCTCCTCCAGCTGTGCAAAGGGCTTTCCTATTTCAACACAATGGACGCATCTACACGTCGCCATACGGTAACCTTGCTACAGCTCCGTGCTTTAGTACTTCCTTTTGGAGGTACGTGTGCTGACTTTTTTTTCAGGGCCTCAGCTACCAGGTCCACTCTGACACCTATAAGGTGGAACAGGATCCTCTTTAGTACTTTTGGAAGTACTAAAGCTTCAGTACGAATGGTTACTGCGCCATGCGCACAACGCACAGTTAGATTTTGCCACTATGTTGCGGTGTACTATATTGGGGGAGTGTGCTGCTACGGTGACATAGCTGGCTATCACATGTAGACCCACGTAATTGCTACACTGCCATAGCGCACCACATGGTGACGTAGTGTATCTCTGCGTCATCGCAGGGCAACATGGAGATGTATCCAATGAAGCAGATCCTGTTCCACCTTTTAGGTGCCTGAGTGGACCTGGTAGCAGAGGCCCTGGAAAAAAGTCATCATACCTACTTTTGTAACACACCATCACTTTACTGTGAAGACTGTCACAAATAACAGGAAGGGGAGCCAACCATTTGTGTACACTTTTTCAGAGAATCAAGCTGCATGGAGTAGGCTCCCACTTAGTTGCCTAGTAAGTGCAATAAGATCTGGCTCTATGGCTTTTTGCCTGCTTTGTCATTTAGCCTTTTTATCCCTTCCTGTCTCCCAGAAGGATCTGCCTTCCACATGCTACAGTGGATGGATGAATCCCTAATAAAATGCTTAGTGAAACTAGCTGGCCAACTGCAACATACAGAGCCCTCATTTCAAGCTGCGTCCATTATCCAGCATGTGATATGTCATGGTAAGTGCTATGAGTGGAATTTAATTGTATTTTCAACACATTCATAGATGCACTAAAAGTGAAGTGTCAAGTCTGAGTCTTTTCAGCCTTCAGTCACCAAATAGACATTAGTATTTCTTTCATCTTTCATCTTGTCTCAGAAATACTTCATCAGTATAATGTAGCCTCCCATCACTTTATGAAGACATGCGAGTATTGCTGCTCCCATTTTACAGATAAGGGCACTTCAGCTTAGAAAACTTGATTTGGTGAAATAGAGAAGCCAAGGCAGAGGTAGAGCTACAACTCATCATACTGATTCCTATGTTTAATTTACAGAACTATCCCACTGTATACCAGCTGAGGGTCTAATGCAGGGGTGGGCAATTATTTCGGCTGGTGGGACATTTAACGAGTTTTGGTGAGCTGTCAAGGGCTGCACGCACAAAATCTTTCAGAATATATCATTTTAACAAACTGTAGATAAAAAATAAATCACATATTAAAAATCAAACATCTACTATAACATATATTAATTTTATTTCAAAAAATAATTTTTGTCCTGATTTGTGGGGGGGGGGGGTTAGTGTATATAGAGGCGATTACATAGTAGCTCAAAATAAAGTCTTACTCTTGTATATTGTGTGCGTGGTGGGGGTGAGCATGTGTGTAGGGGGCTGAAGGTACATTAGGTCCTGGGAGCCAGCCAGGGGTGGGGGGGAGGGAGAAAGGAAGCAGAGGGTCAAGGGGTGCATGCAGCAGAGCTTGCCTGGGCAGCGCAGATGTGGTTTACTTCCCATCCCATCCAACCCATGGCTACCCTTGTGGTGCTCCTCATGGGACCAAGCCCTAGCCAATCCCACCCAGGGCAGCCGGCTCCTGCCTGCACCAGCCAGCGTGCATAGCTTTCTGGCAAGGCTGCAATCCGCCCATCCAGCCATCTGCAGGTGGCTACTCATCATGCTGGGTGGGCAGAGTAGGTGGAAGGCAGCTGGAAGCTGGAGCCCCCCATGCTGAGGCAGGAGCTGCCTGGCTGCAGCTTCCCCCTGGCCTGGCTGGGCACATCTTGCCTGACGCACACCCTTACAGTGGCCTCCACTTTCCCGCACTACCTGCTGCCTGGTGTACTTTTGTGGCTGGGGCAGGAGCGGGGGGAAACTTTGTGGCTGCAGCAGCAGCTGGAGAAATCCTGCTGGGAAGCTGTGAGTGCTGGCTGGGGCTGGGGCAGTGCTGTTGGCTGACATGGGGTGGATGCAGGCAGGAGCACAGCACGGGCTGCTCCAGGCAGGGCTCAGCCCCATGCAGAGCACTGTGGGAGCAGCTGTAGGCAGGATACAATCAACTGGTGGGCCAAATTCAGCCTGCAGGCTGCATTTTGTCTGTCTCTGTTCTAGTGCTTAGTCTTCTGCTTTAGCCATCTAGCAATGTGATGAAAGTCCTTAAACAGGACAGACAAAGAGGTGGGCATGTGTAAAACACATTTCTCACCATGTGGAATATAAAGGAAACTATTTTGAGCATATTTCAGATCACAAACATGATCATTCTCCCTACTTCACCGGACTGAATATTTTAGTCCAAGCCATATGGCTGCATTGCCCTTCAATCAGTAAAAGAGGCTGCAAACTTTTGAAGCAAGAAGTTCCACCTGGGTTGATTTCAGATGCACCCACTGAAAAACAGCTAGTTTTCTCATCCTCAGTCCTTAATAAATGATTTGGAGCCCTTGGGAATGTAGATCTTTGAGAATTCAGCCAGTAATCTCTGAATTCCTTTTCGAGATAATGAAAGGAATATTACATTAGCAGCTGAGATAATAAGTAGCTCTGTGCCCAGTGCATTTGCTCAATGATCCTTAGATCCTTTCAGTTTACCAAGTAAAAAGTATATTTGTGGTCGATAGAAATGCAGAAAGAGTCTGCATCTTTCCCTGACACCGCTCTCCAAGGAAAGGGGGAGCTACATTTCAAATTCTTTCCCATTCTGACTCAAGAGGAATTAGGAATGAAAGGATCTAACGAGGGAAAACTCAAACCTACTTCAATCCTTGCATCAAACGTCTTAAAACAGAGAAAAACCTTATTTGGTGTTTGGCTGCCTGAAGGCACAAATCCTGCATAGAGCTTTTGACATATTTACATATTTATGAACTAGATGAGGCAGTATGAAGGGCTAATTCATAGTTTGAGAAGTCCATGAACCAGCACATGCTTCACATAACTATTAGCCTCCCGTTGCAGCAGCTTTTTCAGCAGAAATCATGCATGCAATTTAGCTGAAATATCCATGACAGTGATGGTTCATAACATGAGGAGGCCCTTTTATTGTCCTGTACAATTAGAATAGAGCATGTACTGGGAAAAGGCGTGCTGAGACAGCCAGTAATGATAACATTTTGAAATGGCATCACATGTTTAGCTTGGTTTCAGACACTGCCCTACAAAATCAATTACAAATTAATGTTTTAATTGTTTCTCTTTGTTCTTCTGCTCCCTTGCCCTTTGTTGTAGAAAAGGTGAGGTCTCTGCTGAAATGCCACATTAAGGAGATTCAATGCTACCTAATGAATTTTCTCACCCACCAAGAGATTCGCTTTCAGCAGCTGGGCATTTCCACCGTCTGCAAATTACAGGAAGGTATGTCCCATGATCCCTCAGTCCTCAGTACCAGTATATAGGATACAAGGCACAGCTAAATCTTGACTGTTTATGTCAACGTGCTACATTTGCTGCATTAGAGCAAAAATTTCACATGCAGTTCTCATCACTGGAAGAGGTATGTAATTTTCCCTGACACTTCACCCTTCAAGAAGGGTGTATCCAGGGGTAGCAATCACCTTGGCCCTTTTAAGACATGATTAGTTAACAAAAAAGAACATTTTTCACAGATTAAAGATGATGGCATTTGAGTGTTTGAAAATGAAAAGGCTTTATCATGAGTTGTCCCTGATGAAGGGACATAGAAGGCCAATTATACAACTTTATTCAATATTACATAGAGGTGGGTGTGTTCTTTGTGTGACAAAGCTGCTTGTGCGATGAAACGAGGCAGTACTGGGCAAAGTTCAAAATCCATATCCAAAACAAATGCTGGTTTGATTAAACAAATGAGCAAATAGAAGCATGGATGGCAGTCATTAAAAATGAACATCTGCTACTACCTACGTAACTCCTATAAAACATGTACAAAGATCACACACCAGTTACCTTCTTGCTAGTGCTTCCTTGCTTAAATTGTCTTTATATAAGAAGTGGGGGATGAATAATGGTCTTCCCTTATCACCTTTTTGTCTTTTACATAGGATCATAGGGCAGTAGGGCTGGAAGGGACATCAATTAGGTCAGCCTCTGCTCAGAGCGAGATCATCCCTGACTGAATCATTTCAATCAAAGTTCTAACTTGGTCTTGAAAATTTCCAGGGATAGAGATTCCTCAACTTCTCTAGGCAGCCTGTTCTACTGGTTGACCAGCCTTATAGTCAGAAGTTTCTTATTAATTTCCAACCTAAAATTTCTTCTGCTGCAGTTTGGGGCAGTTGCTCCTAGTCTGGTCACCTAGAGTGACAGAGAATAGTCAATCACCATCCTTTTCATAATTTCCATGCAGGTATTTAAAGACTTATCAAATCTCCTTTCAGTCCACGGGGGGCATTGTATAAGGTTGACAGGCCTAAAGTTTAATCTGATTTAGTATCAATGAAGCTTTCTGGACAATGCTTTCCCATTTCTGGAAACCTATCTAGTTCATAACATGAGGACAGTAAAATATATTTAAAAATCTATATGACGTATCATCCTCTGAAAGATAGTAATATAAAAATCTGACTGAGCAGGCCTATCAAACCAAACGAAAAGGAAATGGTAGAGCCCATCTCCTAGGACTACTCATTTATGTCCTTTAAAACTGTATAGTATTTTTGGATGGAAAACTAGACATCAGATGAAAGAATGCATCCAAAATAATAAATAAATACATCACATATACATGTGCTCTGAGTCAGCTTCATGGCCTACCTGTATCATTCTGTAGTGTTTATATGAGAAATCGTAGCATTGCACTCAACCTTTTGAGATCTGGGGTGAATTGATCGGGGAAGATAAGTGGCATACCCTCCCATGAAGATGAAACCCTAAATGTGGGGATAGTCTTTGTTTTCCTTTTTGTGGTAATGGAATATTGTGTATGTTTACTGGAGATTATAGCATATGTGTATCACATATAACACAGTAAGGCATATACCTGTTTATTGTGGAAAGAATAACTAAATTCCATAGACATTTAATAGGAGGAGTATGTATTTTGGCAGGACACTTCATTTGTGTGGGCTGGATAATCACACACTGGTTTTCCTTTGTTCTTAGATCCAGAATTTTCATTAGCCATCAGGCAAAGTCAACTGATGGAGCATCTTGAGAGGGTCCATCAACAGACAGAAGAAACGCAAAAGCTTCTAAGGGTGGTTATCAACCACATGGACATTTAACTCCTTTGTTAGTCAGCCCATGGAAGCTTTAAGAAGAATGTACGCAGGGTCTGGTCTTCTTTCAGACTAGATTTCATGCTGCCCTATTTGTTTACATAAAGAGAATGCGGTACAGTTACTTGTCTTTGTTCAATGCCAGCTAGAGTTTGAACAATGCTTCTATGCAGTGGCCGATGGCTTGCTCTTGACTTTAGAATGTGTTTTGGACCAAATCCTGAAGACTCTGAGTCTGAGTCATCATTGCTCCAGGGCTCTCTCTGCCAGCAGAACTGGTGCAGAGAAAACAGCAACTATCACTCTAAGTCTCCTTGATGAATACTATTGGTGCAAGGATTCTTTCTGGCAGTTTTGGAGGGTCCCCTTGCACAAGTTTGCGCCTCAGTCTACAGAGCAGGCAGGGCAGGGGGAAGGGTCCTAAAGTTGCCCAGATGTGAGATAGATGTGTCCAGTCCAGTCTTTCACCTTTAGTAATTCTGCACTCCACAGAATTCTGCAAAGAAGCTGGAGAATACGGTCATGGAGGCGTGGTGTGAGGCACCCCATTGCATCATACTTACCTGTGTCAAGGGTGGATCAAGATGAATAGGGAAAGTGCAGTGTCTTCTTTCAGTCTATAGCAGTCGTCCAGGGATGATGCTCCCACTCATGATCTGACTGCTTCCTTGCACCCATTGTTAGCACCCTGTAGTTCCAACCTCCAAACTGCAACTCTTGAAGACCTTTGATCTCCCAAACTGCATTAACATATTAAAAATGCAAACTCCCCCCCCCCCCAAAAAAAAAGACCCCTGTGAAAGAATGCACGTAAGAAAGTACCTTGCAGTCTTGCTGGTGTAATCCTAGACCTTCTGTGCTCTTTGGTTGTCCTCCATTGTTAAACTGGATTGTAGGTCTACTTGTCCTGGAAGCATCTTCTATTGTACTATGTAAATAACAATAAACCATTGATTTCAGAAGTGTGCTGCCCTCCCATAAGGACTGACACCTCCTTAGTAAATATAGATACATTTCCCAGATGTGTGAACAGAAGTGAGACAAGCTGCTTTGCTCAGCAAGTGCAGTTTGGGTCACAAGTAGAATACCAGAGGGTTTATACACTCTCATGAACAGGGACCAGAGCATTGATTGTCAGCCAGGGTGCCATGGCAACCTGAGGTGCAACAAGGTCCTTTGAAGGGTTCTGTGAGTTGTGAAGAGATAAGAAAGCTATGAGGCGATAAACTGGTCAGTGCAGGTTCAGGCTTGTTGATGCCTCCCCCAATGCCTGGCCCCTGTGCCATAACTGAGGAGGAGCAAGTGGGGCAACCACCTGGGTATTAACTCAGGGTGCAGAACAGGGCAAAAAAAGTGTTTGCTGTTGGCAGTCCTGTAATTACAAGAGTGATCGCAGTGGCAAACAGAAATGTCCACTGCCCTGTGCCCCGGGTGCCTGATCGCATCCTGGTGGTGTTGACTGGTCATTTTCCGAGTAGGTAAGCACTGTAATATATAAATTCATTTTTGAAACTTGGCACCACTCAATTCACAAAACTTATAATGGAGGGGTGCTTCAAGTCCAACGAGAGAGGCCTTGAGTCCAAGAAGGTTGGCAAACCACTGGGAGAGGAATCTTTCCCCAGAAGAATGAACATGTTCTTCCTTAACTCTTGGCTTCACTTCCCTGAATCTCAGACATTTTGCAGAACAAGTTGCTATTCTTCCAGGCTCTGAAGGAGAGAAGAGGACCACTACTTTTGTCCATCTTGAAATTTATTTTCTGTGGGGCATTATTTACTCATCCATCTAAAGGTCTAGTACCTTCTTTTGATGATACAAGAACTTAGAGAACCCAGCACTTTCTCCGTGTAAGAGAAAGATATGAAGTATGTATGCTGGTAAGGACCTGGTTCCAGGAGGGCCATATACCTCCCAAACCTACTGACTTGCACAGGCACTGCTGAGACTTGCTCCCCCTCCCCTCTGCCCCCCAGCCTGGAATTAGGCCATTGGTTGTCAAAACCTTTCAGCCTATAGAGATGTAGGAGTCTTTGGCAATGAGATGCAAAATGAAAATGGGGGGTGTGGGGCTGATATTTGGAAAAGCATGGAAATGAAATACTCAGCAGCTGTTGTGGTAGCAGCATGGCACCTTAGAAAAATCTTCCTCTGGGCTCTTTTTATTGTTACTAATTGGTTCCTTATAACAGTAAAATCTTTTTGGCAATTAGCAGCTAAGACACAGCTTACTCAAATCTTCCTATAGAAAAATAAAAAAAATTGTTAAGCAGGGAAAACAGGAGCCATGGTTAGACACCCAGGCTTATGTAAAGTGAAGAAAAAATTTCCATTTCCACACACAATATTCAAGAACTTTTTTTTTAAATTCTCATCTTGCAAGATGCCAAAACACCTAACTACAGAGTGTTAAATTTATTAGCAGATGTAGTATGAAGTGCTGAAATGGCATGGTCACAAATTGAATAAGTAATTCCAGGGAGAATTGGATTTAAAACCTTAGTACAATGAACTATTCTTCAGGTGAACTTATATTAATTGCAGAAAGAAGGCTATACTACTGTAGGACACAGGACAATATGCTACGAACAAGAAAGAAGTACTCACATGAAAATCAGCTCATCTGGTGCTTCCTATTGTATTAGTAGTTTTAGCTAATTGTAATAATCATATATAACTCTAGCAGAAAGGAAAATGGGACATCGCCCAGTGGGAATGAGATGATGAACAGAAGAGAGAAAATGCAAGATAAACTAAAATGTAATGATGAATAACCCTGCTTTGGTGATGCAATGATTAATGTAATGGACAAAATTGCTAAAGAGCACTTATGTGAGCACTTCATTTTTGTGCTGTGAGACTTAATTAAAGCAATGAGGTGAATCTGTTCAATCCACAACAATAATCTAGTTGCTATGAAAGATTATGACTCTACACTTTCTAACAATTTAAGTGAGGCTTTTACAATTCCTAGATCTGTCCTACTGAATTAGTCACACAGCATCTGACTGTGCAGATGGTTGAAACAGTGATGGCAGCAGTTATGAAGCTGACTCTATTAAATACCATGATCACCTACATCTCTTAACAGCCACCCCCTCCCCACCACCTTTGAAAGAAGATCAAAAGTTACTTTTTCTTTCCATTCAAAATCCTCTTGTAAATACAGATGGGTCAAAAACAGTACTTTGAATCTTAGCTCCTTTGAATTTTTGTAGAATACTGATCCAAATCCCTAAATCTGAACATACCACCTATTGTTTGGATTAAATGTCAAACCACAAAAGGAAAAGTGTCCCAGTTCAACAAAGGACTTAAGAAAGTGCATTACATAAAGGACTTCCATAAGTCATATTGATTTCAGTGATGAATCAAGGGGTTTGGTCTAAAATTTAATGAGAACAATTTATGATATCTCAAAGTGTAATTCAATACCCTTAAATTTAATTTGAATCTAGTTTTGCATATCAACTCCTCAGCCCAATCCTAGTTGTAAATGACCCCATACTATTTGCCTGACAAAAAGATCAGAGCAGTGGGAGCCAGCGTTTCTGGCAGGCATGTCACAAATTAAGCCTTGTGCCCTCTCTCTAAATGCCGCTCCCCCTGCTTCATCTGTTACTCTGCTTCCTGCCCTGAGCTCCCTGTCCTATCTGCTATTCTGCTTTCTGTTCCCTGCCCTATTTGCCACTGTGCTCCCCAATCTATACACAGAGCTTGCCTGTGGCATGTGTACTGCAGGTTGGCCCCATTTGGATTAGAGGCCGAGAGTAGCTGTAACAAACTGGTCCCTGGTTCAAACTAACGTAACATGACAACCAAAAATATAAAAAAGTATAAATATTTCAAACAAATTTTATTTGGTTCTTACATGCTATATAGATTCAAAGAAATAAAACTACATGTGTTTAAGTATAATATTTATATACATGGAGACCTGTGAAGAAAGCGGAAAAGGAACCCAATTAATTTTGTTATAGCACAAACTATTACTGAGACATTCTGACCGAATGGCTTTATGATCTGGCAGGTAAAGTATCTCGTAAGTGAACTCCCCAGGACTTAAGACCATCTCCTTTATAGTAAGACACACATCTTGCAGCTGTATTAAGTCAGCCCATTAAAACATTCTTACTAAAACAGTTTCTCTATTAATAGATTTTCTGCACTTTTGCTCCTGATAGGCCTGATCCAGTGCCCAGTGAAGTTCATCAAAAGAATCTTCCTGGGGCACATCCTCAACTGGTGCGAACGACTGTAACTCCTCAGTTGACGCCAGCTGTGAATTTGCCCCGTTGACTTCAGTGAATACTGCATCAAGACCTGGTAGGATCTCTCAAGAACAATGAATAAGTAGTAATTTCTACTGATCAGAGCACTGTTCATAAACACAAAAAGTCCAGGATTTTAGTCATGCTCAGCAGCAGCAAAAGTGACATGGGTGGGATGATGAAAGTGAAACTGGTGTCGGTGGGATAAAGAGGAATGGTAAGATTCTAGTCACTATCCTACAGTAAAATGTACTGCATTTTAAAAATTCACATTAAACAAACAAATAAAGCAGCAACTGACCCATTATTTTCTGTTTGCTCTGAAACGAGCAAAACTAAGGAGCTCTGGGATCTTCTCCCACATTCGAGTTTTCACACCATCTTCATCATCTGGTAAGGCAAAGAAAACTCCCTCCATTGTTGGGAACAGCAGCATTCCACAGGAGTTGGAATTGTGTGTGTATGTATAGCTTTTACAGTGGAGTGAACATGAATGTAACTAATAAAATCAAGTTTGCAATATCATTTTATTACATTTTTCTAATTTATTCAATTAAATTATTTATTTTTGTTTACTGAACAAAATCCATAAATACATCATCTAGGAGAACAACAGGTTTTCCTTGTGTCCATGAAAAAATAACGCTCTCAAATTTTCACATTTTAAAACCTGCTCCATTTTGTTTCTTTTTTTCCCCAAAGAAAAGGTAAGAAGAGCATAGTGACATCTGAATTTACAGAATGTCCATGTCATAGGTTACATTTACAAGAACCTGATACAGAAGCCTACACTTTGCCCCCATAATTAAGAGTTCTCTGCAATAACATTTAAACCAACAGGTTTAAATGAAACACCATGTTAGCCCTACTTGTAGGGCTCTGAGGTGTTTATTTTTCAAGTATTAGATCCAGAAAATGTAAAAGATTCTTTGCCAATTTTTACATTTATATCTTTTAAAACCAAATACCCATCTTCAAAAAACAAAACAAAAAATCAGGCCCTTTGCCCCTATCAGCCCATTACTTTCAGATTCCAGTGTCTTTGTCTTAAAGATGCAGAAAGTATCCATTTACTAAATAAAGAGGCTTGTTGGAAAAAGCAATTCTAAGTAATGCACATGAAGCATGATTTCTAATGGTGAAAACTATTAGATAGAAAGGTATTCCAAATCTATTCCCCATCATTTCTTCTGCTGGTTTTGCTAAGGTCCTTTCAAAAAGATATCCAAGAAATCTTTAGAAAAACTGGAGAGAAAATAAAACACTCCTTCATAGTATGGAAGGAAATCCACCGGCTGCAGAGATGCTTGCTTCACCTTTGGTTGCTCAGAAGAAATGGTTAGATAACCTCTGTAATAAAAGGTAGTAAAAAAAGAAGAACAGATTATTAGACAGGAATGATATTTATCCAAAAATCCTGTTTACATAGCACTTTCAGTGACTGACCCTTTTGCTCAAATTTTCTAAGCACCGAGGAGGAAAATGTTGCCACCTGTCTGATTTACCTTGCAATATTCATGCTTCTGTTCATACCCAATAGATAAAAAGTAACAGTCTGCTGCTTTGCACTGACTGTGGCTGCAGACAAAACCTTCTGTAGCAAATATCAGAAAGTAACCTGATAAGGGGAGTTATTCAGAATTTGAATCACAAAAACAGCAGCCATATCCCACTCCCCTCCCCTCCCTGAAGAGCATACCACAGTTTTATATTTGAAGCTGTAGAACAGGCTGGCTGTTCTCAATCAGCTAATTGTGTATTCGCTATGCCATGCTGCCAGGTAAGAGCATCACACAAACATTTTAATGTAGCCTCATGAGGCAATGAATGCAGGGGTAACTAGAAACTCTGAAATTAAACTTAAGATTCAACACAATTCCCATAGTACTCTGCATGTACACACACCTTTGCAAGTGCATAGTAAGACATGTTCCATGCTCCAAAAAGCTTACAGCCTAAGGGGCTTAAATTAGCGATCTGGTTATATACATCAATTAAATACTTCATATTTTCTGTCAATTACAATGTGCAATATTACAATATTACAATTTTTTAATGATGTAGAGCAAACCTACCTGCTGTTTGATGTGTTTGAACAGTATCTACCTGAGGCAATAGAGTCCCCTTATCATCAAAGGCTAAAATTGGATTTAAAGGAATTCCAGGGCTATTGCTTCCATCATTGTTCAAGGAATCTAATCTGGATGGTTTAGATCCAATGGGTAAGTTTATGAACTCTTCAAAGTTCTCATTCTGCACAGACATTCCATTCTCATTCGGATTTTTTTCTGGATTGAAATTACTAGAAACAAAAATATAAATATAACTTCCTAACACAGTTCATGTGTGTGTCTAACATACAATCAAAAACTGAAACCCAATATTCCTCACATTTTAGAGGATGTTCAGTTCCCAAAGTTGTTGGGGCAGTGGTGAGCTAATGAACCAAGCATTACATTTCACTCTTATTAGCAACCCACATTTCTTTTCTCCCTAAAGCAAATTTCTGTTTTTTAGGAAAAAAAAGATCTCTCAGTGGACTGAAAAAAAGGCCCTCAGCACTCTAGCATACCCTTCATTAGAACCTGGATAACGTCTACATGAATATATTCCAGCTGATCTGTCAATATCAAGATATCACACTGAAAGAAATGCACTCTGAACGAGCAAAATTACAAGTGGAAAAGACCGTGTGAATCTAGAGTGATTTAGTGCCTTCTAAAACTCAGTTACTCAACTAATAGTCATAGTACATACATATCACAGAGATAATCTTCAGACCTGTTCTGTTCAATAATGTTCCATTGCAGTGCAGGAGATGTATTCAATGCACCTGCTGATTTTATGTCCATATGCTATACCTAGGTATGACAGTCGACTTCACGCACATTATAGTATTGGAAAGTGATTGATGACACCGTTTGTTTTCTGTTATGTCCATTCACTGTGGAAAATGCAGATTTTGTCCTCTGAAAGAGCAAAACGTGGGAAATCATGGGTTTCCCCTTGTAGGCTGGCAAAGTTCTGGCCTGCAGGGAGATGTTTGGGGCTAGGGGGAGCAGGATGCAGGGGGTGCATCACATGCATGTGGCCAGCAATACAGCCAGGCAACAGAAAGCAACTCTCTCAGCTGTCTGCAGGTAAGTCTATAGGGGGTGGGAGGGGGCATGGGGGTGGAAGGGGGGCAGCCTGAGGACCCCATGGTGAGGGAGAGAGTGGGGCAGGGCTGGTGGCTGGTACTGGGGTTGCTGCCCAGCTGGGGTGGTGCATGGGGCCCAGGGCCAGAATGCACAGCTATGGGGGCCCAGCTGGGGAAGTGGGACAGAGCCACAGGCGGCTTGTCCAGGTGGGCAGGGAGGAGTCTGGCTCCCCACCGCTGTGCACACACCATGCTGCCACTGCTGGTGCCTTGCCATGGTGGGGAGGGAGTGCATTGCCACAGCAGCATGGCTGGCATGGGTTTCTGGTGGCGGCGGCAGCACCACCAAACCTCTCCACCTTCCTATACTGGGCTTAACCCACTGGCCCGCAGAGGCCCCAGGAGGAGGGCAGCAGAGTGGGGAGCCCCGAGACCTGCAGCAGGCAGGCCCACATCCTCCCCTGTCCCTATGGGCTCTGCTTAGATCTGCTCAGGCCATGACACCTGTGGGAGGTGAGGGAGGCAGGCATATGTCCCACCTTTGCATTTTGAAAAGGTGGTCACCCTACTAACACTATCCTAGTAGGATAATGAGAGCAATAAGGCTAATCAAAAGAAAGCAATGAATCACTAGAATCAATTGCTTATTTGGCTCATTTCCCTTTTATTTTTCAATTTCTTTGTTCACATGGACGTGAAAGGGGATTTAGGTCTTGGCACCAGCACACAGACCTGTAGCCTGGGTCTCCGAGCAAGCAGAGTTCTAGAGTAGGGGAGCACAGACCACAGTAATAAATAAATCAGCCAAATCCTCCCTGCTTCTTGACTTGGGCTCCATTGGGCAACTGGAGGGTTTCAAGCATTCTGAATCCAGAAATTCAATCCATAGACTATTTAAAATTATGCAATTACTAGAGGCCAAATCTTGACCATGCCCCCTACTCATCTTCCTAAGAGGCACTGATGGTGCAAAATACAACACAAGTTGTAATGGGGAGGCAAGGGGGTACCAAATGGTACAAGATGTGTTGAGTTCAATCCTTGTACATCACCAAACACAAATCAGCATAAAGTGGTATGTGGGGAGTGCACATGGAGAGCTTTAGCCAGTGGATGCATCACTGTGCAGAGCAATTAGCTGTTAAATGTAATCTCTCTGGGAGGTAAGAGTGCAACAGCTGTAAAGGCTCCAAAAACCTGTGGACTACAGTGAGCAGCTTTGTTGTTGCTCCCATTCCCTAGGAATTCTGGTGGATACTTCCCTGTGCGAACCTATTTACTCAGGCTTTGCAAAAAAAAGAGAACTCAAGCTATTTTATCAAAGCCCTCTAAAACCAAATGCAAGACCTTTTTTGGCTTAAGCCAAACCTTATTTAACATATAATCCACTTCAGACATTTACTAAAGATACTGAGTCATTCAGCAGCATCATTTTCCATGTTGCTGCTTTTCTTTGTATAGTATACTACATGCCTTCTATTTCTGTTGATGCTGGTAGGTCGTATTTATTCCTTTCTCACTCTGCCTGCTTGCAGGTTCTTTCTACACTGAATATGATGCTACCTGACAGTCATTATTAGGGAGGCACATATTGTATTATAATCATCAAGGTGCATTTAAAATGGAGAAATAATTAGCATTTAGTAGCTGCCTTATGCAATTACGAAATGGCTTTATGCAGTTCATCTAGCATGGTTCAGTGCTCAGTGTCACTGCCAGAACTTTTCTC